TATTTTTACATAGAGGTTTCCTTATTTATTTTTATTGTAGTTTGTTGTCATTATTATTTAAACAAAACAAATAAAGCTTTATTATTGTTATTTTGAAAATCACCGTACTTCCGGTTACGTTAGGTGCAATTGTGGCTGACTTGCCGCATCTCGCCACCTCCTCCCTCTCACAGACAATGAATGAAGCCAGTTTTGGGGATGAATAAACCCAGGATCACTTCAGGTATCATAACACCCTTTTAGCATGTTAATAACAAAAAGAACACACACCAGATCCACGTTTAGCTCTGGTTAGGCTGTCCATTTTCACCTTTATCTCACCAAATAGCGACAGGAAAAATACTCTAATCAATAATACCCCACCATGTCACACCATGTGGACATTTACAATAAAATAAATCCTTAAAATACATGTTAACATTTCCATTAAACCCTCAGTGATACATTAATGAGCTTACATTACCTGCAGGATCAACTTCTCTGCGCTGCAGCGGACAGCGTTTACAAGCTGCGTCAAGTCAGCGCCATTCAGCAACACTACACCGGAAGTGTGACGCCTTCGAAATAAAAGCGGGGCGTAGATCAGATACTTTATTGATCCCAAATTGGGACTTTTTGCGTTACAGCAGCATGTTAAAACAAAGGCATTGCACATCATTTGAAGAAAATAGTAGAAAATAAACCCACATAAAATATAAACATATCAAAATATAAAATAAAACTGAATTAAAAAGTCAAATAAAAGTAATACTTTAGAGTATTTCTTCCAATACTGATAATAGTCCGGTCTGTCTTCACTTGTAATTAATAAATACATACATAATAATGTGTTAAATACATTATTATTCAGCAGTTTTCGGTTTTCCTTCAAAGCGTCGTGTTCTTATTATTAAAGCTAACGTGTAGCCTTATTTTGAAAACCGGAAGTCCTATATGACATTTTAGCTAGCTTGACGCTTTTAGCATTAACACCTTACTCACCTAGGATTACCGTAAATATGCTAATGTACAGTAACACGTTTAGCTGCTAATATCTGACTCAATAATTGTTTGTTTTGTGTTTTATATCAGCTCACTTTTTAACCGGGAATAACGTAAGAGAGGAATCCTCTTTAACGTTGATGCTGCATATTTACAAACAGCATTTCCGGGTAAAACTTTTTTCAACGACAGACATTGAACGTGGCTACGCAGCTTTCTATTGGGAAAATACAACAAGGAGGCGTTTGTTGTCGATACAAAAACTACGTAATTCACAGCTACGTGGGAAAACATGCATACACAATGGGAAATAAACATCACATTTGTCTTTTTATTTATATTTATCACTTACAAATTATGTTTAATAGGTTATGCTATTTTAGTGTCATGAATAAACCAAGTATAAAAGGCAGGAATGTTAATAAAAAGCCATCAATACCTGTGAATTTTAACTTTTAAAGATACAATCAACTCATTTCTGGTTCTTATGGACATAAAACCTTCAAATACATAAATCTAGCAAATTATTTAAGTTGCCATTACATATAATATTTATTTAAAATATGATGAGGTTCTTTATGCACGTAATTTGGCTTTCTCAGTGTCTCTTAAACCACATTGTAATATGAAATAAAATATAAAAAGGATGCAGCCTGCCCAAGTAGAACTTGAATCACAAAACACCAGCTAAACATGACCTCATTATTAATGTGCTCTCATCCGAATAATTAACTCATTAATTATTCAATAACTATTCAATTCTATCATTTATTTTATTGATTTGAATATGTAAAACATTACCTATAAAGCCTAAATGGGCAGGGTGCCTCCTATGTTGCAGATCCCGTATTCTAAAATCATACTTTTATCTCCTAGCGTTCGACTCCTTATCTGGCTGATAGTGCCTATGCCTATGTATTTGTTTATGTGTGCATATGAGCTGTGTGTATTAACGTTTACGCCGGTGTTACTCTTAGTTACTTATTGTATTTAAGGTTGTGTTGGCTACCTGCTCTGTTCTGTACAGCACTTTGGTTAATATGGGTTGTTTTTAAATGTGCTTTATAAACACATTTGATTGATTGATTGACCTCTAATATCTAATAACACCTATAACACACATTGGTATTAATGAAACTGATAGTACACACTACTGTCCATCCCATTGTAATGATTGTATTACTTCATGAATTTAATTTAACAGAAAACATTCAATATAATTATATTGACATGAATATATATATGTAAACATAAATACAAAACTTATATTTAAGATGATTTTATATATATCATTAAAACGAAAACAAATATTACAATTAATAAACATATGATTGTTGAAAATGATATCTATGGTAAAGCGTTCGCCGAAAAGTACAAGATACACAACCTTACTGTTTTAAATAAACCGTGTAATACAGTAATCAGTGCACATTATGTATAATAATAATCTTATATAGTCAAATGTTGTTAAATGTGTCAGGATGAATTATCTAAGTGTCAAACGGATCACTTGTAACTTAGATACCTGCAATAAAGTATAAATACACTTTAAAAATCTTACCTTTTTCTGCATCAACCTGTGATATGAGGTGAGTTGATCCTCATGGAGCCTCTGAGGAACACAGAGAGCCTTCAGGTGTCGGTGCCGCACTCAGACTGTTTTCTACCTGTTGCCAGGTGCCTTAAAGCCTCTGAGGAGGAGGAGGAGGAGGAGGGGGTTGGAGCTGTTGGGAAATTATGATGAAGATCCCCCAGGGCCAATGAGATCTCATAACTAACGGTCTTATGCAATGATCAGAGCGTCGTGGTTATATAAGAGCGGGAGGTCAGCCGCTCACAGCTGGCTGGGGACTTCCTCTGTCACCACAACAAAGTGGGTCATCACAGCAGGGGGTCTGCATCACTGTGAGCAGAGAGAAGGGGGTCCCTGACACTATATGAGAGGGGGGGGGGGGGCAGATTGATGGAGGGGTTACAGATATTAGCGGTCACTTTGCAGAATTAGCTTGCCGAGTGTTCTGTATGTCAACAATCAGCTTAAAGGAAACACTAACTCTGATTGGTTCCTGGTGTTTTGGTTCATCCTGTTATCTGATTTGTTCCCAGAATACCTGGCTTTCACCATTCCAAAATAAAACGATTTTGGACTACAATAAAGAGTGACCTTAGTTAGATTCAAACACTATGCTCAACGTAGCGTCCCGGGATTTGCTCCAAAAACACATATTTACTCAGAAATCTAGATTTGTGTAACTGGTTCCCACTGCATGCTGGGTATCTCTTCAAGGTTCAAGGTTCTTTATTTGTCAAACGAACATAGCTACAGTGTAATTATGCCGATGAAAATCTTGTGTCACAGGCTTCTCCAACAGAGCAACACAAAACACAGATAAACAGAAAATATAGTGCAAGTAAATAGTAAATACAAAAAGAAAAAATAGTTTAAAAAGTGAAATAGTGCAATAAGAGTCTATATGCAAGTTATTGAAATAGGATATAGGTAAATAGATAAATAATTTCTAAGTAGCAGCCAGATGAATATTGTGGATGTTGTTTCAGCAGTTCAGGTGTTTAACAGTCTTATTGCCTGTGGGATGAAACTGTCCCTGAGTCTGGTGGTTTTAGTCCGGATGCTGCGGTACCGCCTGCCAGACGGCAGCAGACAGAACAGTTTGTGGCTGGGGTGATGGGGGTCTTGTATAATCCGGAGGGCTTTCTTCCTGAGCCGCTGGGAGTAAAGGTCCTCCATGGATGGCAGCTCCGTCCTGGTGATGTTCTGTGCAGTTTTCACCACCCTCTGTAAAGCCTTACGATTGAGGGCGGTGCAGCTGCCGTACCAGGCCGTGATGCAGCCAGTCAGGATGCTCTCTATGGTGAGGTCTGGGAAGCGCTTTGTGAAACCTTCTGTGCATCAAGGATTTATATAAACAAAGTTGTATTGATTTTGACTGATTCATCGATTGACATTGTTTGAAAAGTGGCTGAAACTGAAATAAAAAAACAAATACTTTTGTTTAACTAGTAAGTTGCTACCGATTGGTCAGAGCCGTTATTTGTGATATAATGAGAAACAGGTAGGGGGAAGTTATAGAGGGTATCCAGTGGCGATCCTAGAGTCGGTGGGGGCCCTAGGCAAACATTCACTGGGGGCCCCTCGAACCAGCTTTTCATCACCACGCACAGCCGACAGCCTGGAGCGGAACAAGGCAACAAAACTTAAGATGAGAAGCAGCATTTTACGGCGCGCTATGCATGGGGCCGCCTTGAGGGGGTTTCCCGACATGTCGTTGCAGTAAATTAAAGGGTGTTTCATGTTGTCGTTGCTGTGGACCTTCTTAATCTACCTTCTTTGGGGGCCCCCTTCTGGTCCGGGGCCCCAAGCAGTTGCCTGCCTTGCCTGTTCGCAAGGTGCGCCCCTGAGGGTATCCCATGTTTAAAAAAAAAATACAGCAACTGAGTGTGTGGAAGTTTTTTACATTTTTACACAAAACAAGCCTGTGAACATAGTGAAGAATAATGAAGTGTGTGTTCAGCTCCTCCTCATGCTGATCTTGTGATATTGGGGAAAAGAAACACACACATGCCTCTGTATGATTTTCTGCAAATGAATTTATATTTATTTATAATTCAGGTTCAATGTTGTCATTAGATTATAAGATAAAACATCATTGTTAATTGTATTGGAACTAATACCTAAATGTCAAACTAGATCCAGATTTTATGACTAAATGAACCCTAAATACCAAATTCAATGTTGATTTTAGAGAATTTGTTTGCAGTAAATACAAAAAGGTAGTGGTTTCAGACATCAAATAATAAATATACATGTCCTGCAAATAAATCTTTTAAACGACAATATTATTTGAGGGAAATTTGGGATATATGTGGTTTGAAGTCAATATATTTTACTCAAACACATACCTACAAATAAAAAGGGAAAGCGCTAAAAATGATCCAGGATAAAGAGAGTAATTTGATGTGCAGCAGCGCCCTCTGCAGGACAGAAAAGAGGCCTACAATCACATTAAAGAGAACTTTATTGATTATAATGAAACATACATTTTAATCGTAGAAGTCACTTTACACCAAAGACTTTAAAAATGCTCCTTCTGAAAAGCTTGTGTGCAAAATATAATAACGCACTAACAGTACAAAAGTGGACAAGCTGTGTCATTAAAAAAAGGCATAACTTGAATAATCTTAGACGACACCTTTGCATGAAATAAAACTGATTTTAACAGAATGGTAAAAAAGTAGAAACAACCATAACGTGAGATAAACTCTTTAAAGGGCATCATTAAAAGGTTAATTTGGTCCAGTAAAAAGGCAGGTAGTGCTCTGATATAATCATCGTAACAGTGTGAAAATGACCCGACAGCTCATTTACTATTAATGGCTTCTGGTAAAAAAAACTAAGCATATCACCATTATATTCTCCCATTTTAACTGTGGAGGTACAAGTTAGGGCTCCACAATGAATCAACATGTTGGATGAAGGCAGACAAAGTGTTTAAATGTAATATTAAATGAAGTTGTGTGCAGCTGCAGAGATATCCCGGCCTATAAATTATAATCTACAAACTTAACAAATCATATATTCTTGGCAGAGATCCTCTTCACCAATCATCATTTTATAAAAACTACAAAAAAAAGATCAATCCATCCAATATCCTGATTGTGAAACCTTATTTTTCACCAAATTGTGCAGCCCTAACGCAAGTAAATACAATCAATTGGAAGCTAAAGCTGTGTTTGTTCAAGCGGTGCATATAGCCTGCACATGCTAACGTGCTAGCTGCTGCTGTGTGTCACCGTGGTTTCAGCTGAAGTCTCGGTCGGACAGGATCACCGGGGCGATGAGCGTCCAGAGGAAGATGGCCAGGCCGAACCAGCTGGAGCCGATCTTCACCCACACCGAGGGCATGGTGCTCTTCATCGTCTCGTAGGCCGCGTCGGGCCTGGGGAACCAATCAGGGAGGAGGAGTCAGCAGTGGATCGAATTTAATCCATGCATTGTGGCTTGTTAGATGTAGCAGTCATCACATACAGAGCATTTGGTACAACGAGTTCCTGAACAGTGTCCTTCACATGCTGATATCCAAGAGAGGGAGTTACACAGTCACAAGATGGAGGAATAGAAAGCAGTATTCAATGTTTACTTCAGATTAGCTCCACGTCAGAAATGATCATGCTTGTCATATGTCTCTCTCCATAGAGGCTGAATCATCATGTTAATCACATAGCTATCATATGCCTAAAACAGTCCTGATGCTCTTCTAGGTAATCATACATCCTGTCATGCACACAGCTGCAGTCGGGATACCTTTGTTATCATGTGTGCTCTGATATTGGAAGAGGACATTCAGTGTTTTCAGTATGTAAATGTCTATGTCGGGAAAATCAAGTACAAAATTGTCCCGTAATGTTACAACCTGCCGACACGAGGCTCCCTCTGTCTTATGTGCTTTCTCTGTGACGTAGGAAAATGTGTTGGGTATGTTTTTTCACCAGGAGTTAAATAGAGTGGTGCAGGAATGAGTCCTAAATGAGTCAGCATTTTATCACTTCCTGTCCCCTTCGTCTGGAAGTCAATGTTTTTTTTTTTTTTAATGGGTTGCTAGTCTGATATACGTCAGCAAATACCTAAATGAGACGACTAAACGTCATCACACCCAACATTAGCCGCCTTTAGCTTAGCGATGGTGACGGGAAGTCATGTGACCGTGCTGTAGTTCCTTTATAGCCTAATGTTAGCTTCTTAACTCAGAAATCTTAAAGTGGAGACAATATGTGGAGATTATTATATTTTATTTTCTAAAAAGGCCAAAATCCCATTGTTTTTGTGGAGGGAGCGATGCTTACTTTCGCTTCGACCTGCACAAATACGTCATCACTGCACCACTCCATGGTTTGTATCCACAGGAAACACTAATGCATTTTCTTTTTATTGAGATATAAAACATATATTGTGGCAAAAACTAACCAGATATCTTTTTATAAGCAGAAGGATAAATAAAGGATACTTACATGTACCAGTTGGTGAGGGTCATCATGATGTAGAGCGAGGCGAGGCAGAGGCTCAAGTGGAAGAAGGAGTAACTGTAGGTGACCGCTTCCTCCTCGTTGTCCACGGCGCGGTGCACCCCGTCCTCCCCCGTCTCAAAGCTTTCGCTCGTCAGACCCTGGACCTCCTCCGTCCGCATCAGCTTGTTCACTGCGGTGTTGTTGGAGGAGCGGATACTGAGAGAGCAAAGGATGTTGATTTGAAGGTCCCCTATTATACTGTTTTTCATGTGTTTGGTGTTTGGCTCCAAACACCAAACAGATCATTGCAGCATCCCATAATCCCCTCTGTTTCAGCCCTGTTTTAAAAGTGCTGATTCTCTGTCTGTTACTTTAGATGAAAAGGAGCCCCTCCCCACGCCCCTCTGAGAGATATTTGGTTACAAAGAACACAATGGTGCTCTAGGAGGACATTCAGGTGATAAGGTGGGGGGGGGGGGGGTTACCTTGGTTGGTGATTGGCTAATGGTTACACAAGCCAAAAATCGTTATGACATCATAAAGTGGCCAAAATCTGATCAGCTCATTTTCAGACAGGTTTTTATATAAATGGATCAGGATAAAAAGAGAGAGAATCTTTTTTCCTGAAACTTTCAGAGTCTCTTTACACAGAGGGGACACATGTTGATGTAGAAAAGACATGAAGAAGAGGGGACACATGTTGATGTAGAAAAGACATGAAGAAGAGGGGACACATGTTGATGTAGAAAAGACATGAAGAAGAGGGGACACATGTTGATGTAGAAGAGACATGCTCCCATCGCTATGTGATAGAGGTGGCTTCCAGACAAACACATACAAAAAACAAGCACTGAAAAGCTGCAGAAGTTTTTAGCGCTTTTACTGTTGTAATGTTTCCAGAATCTGGGTTTTAAATCATGCAGAACGCCCCAAAAACACTATTTTAATACTTAAAACAAATGAGAAAAACAGAATAAACGTATATTTTTGCAGTGGTCTCCTTTTATAGAAATGATCCTTCATAGAAACTCTCATTTAATGTTCAAGCAACACGACAAACTGACAAAACCAGCACTGATTTTTCCAACTCTCACTGATGTTTCAATCGTTGTTTTACGGACGAAAAAAATACAAATAGTGAGATTTCAGACAGTGTTGTAAGAGCATTCTAAAAATGTCTTCTTATAAAAGGCACATTGGAGCCTACAAACCACAGCATTTAGAGTAATGTACCTGGCGTAGAGAGTACAGAACAGGAAGATGACCAGCCCCACGATGCCCTGGGCGTCCCACCACTGGACAGAGCCGGGGGCCGTGGTGGGGGCCGGGCTTGGAGCTGGAGTCGCCAGAGGGTCCATCACCAGGTTGAGCAGACTGGGGTTACAGTTACGGTCTGCAGTGGAAACACAAAGAGAAATATTACAACTACTGTCACAGCTGCAGGGGCTGGGGTATTCTATTTATGTATCCTTTTAGTGGTGCAGGAATAAGTCTTAAACCCTGAAATTAGTCAGCATTTTATCACTTCCTGTCCCTTAGTCTGGTAGAAATTGTTAGTGTTTTTGGTTGTTAGCCTGAAATAAGGTCTGTGGTTAACACAAGGTGAAGAGATTTTTACACCATAAAATACGTCAGTAAATACCCCAAAGGTGAATTTAAAAACAGCGGTTTCTAACAAGTGTCTAAATGAGACGACTAAACATCATCACGCCCAACATTAGCCGCCTTTAGCTTAGCGGTGGTGAAGTGAAGTCATGTGACCGTGCCGTAGTTCCTTTATAGCCTAACATTAGCCGCCTTTAGCTTAGCGGTGGTGACGTGAAGTCATGTGACGGTGCTGTAGTTCCTTTATAGCCCAACATTAGCCGCCTTTAGCTTAGCGGTGGTGACGTGAAGTCATGTGACCGTGCTGTAGTTCCTTTATAGCCCAACATTAGCCGCCTTTAGCTTAGCGGTGGTGAAGTCATGTGACCGTGCTGTAGTTCCTTTATAGCCTAACATTAGCCGCCTTTAGCTTAGCGGTGGTGACGTGAAGTCATGTGACCGTGCTGTAGTTCCTTTATAGCCCAACATTAGCCGCCTTTAGCTTAGCGGTGGTGAAGTCATGTGACCGTGCTGTAGTTCCTTTATAGCCTAACATTAGCCGCCTTTAGCTTAGCGGTGGTGACGTGAAGTCATGTGACCGTGCTGTAGTTCCTTTATAGCCTAACATTAGCCGCCTTTAGCTTAGCGGTGGTGACGTGAAGTCATGTGACCGTGCTGTAGTTCCTTTATAGCCCAACATTAGCCGCCTTTAGCTTAGCGGTGGTGACGTGAAGTCATGTGACCGTGCTGTAGTTCCTTTATAGCCCAACATTAGCCGCCTTTAGCTTAGCGGTGGTGAAGTCATGTGACCGTGCTGTAGTTCCTTTATAGCCTAACATTAGCCGCCTTTAGCTTAGCGGTGGTGACGTGAAGTCATGTGACCGTGCTGTAGTTCCTTTATAGCCCAACATTAGCCGCCTTTAGCTTAGCGGTGGTGAAGTCATGTGACCGTGCTGTAGTTCCTTTATAGCCTAACATTAGCCGCCTTTAGCTTAGCGGTGGTGACGTGAAGTCATGTGACCGTGCTGTAGTTCCTTTATAGCCTAACATTAGCCGCCTTTAGCTTAGCGGTGGTGACGTGAAGTCATGTGACTGTGCTGTAGTTCCTTTATAGCCCAACATTAGCCGCCTTTAGCTTAGCGGTGGTGACGTGAAGTCATGTGACCATGCTGTAGTTCCTTTATAGCCCAACATTAGCTGCCTTTAGCTTAGCGGTGGTGAAGTCATGTGACCGTGCTGTAGTTCCTTTATAGCCCAACATTAGCCGCCTTTAGCTTAGCGGTGGTGACGTGAAGTCATGTGACCGTGCTGTAGTTCCTTTATAGCCTAACATTAGCCGCCTTTAGCTTAGCGGTGGTGAAGTCATGTGACCGTGCTGTAGTTCCTTTATAGCCCAACATTAGCCGCCTTTAGCTTAGCGGTGGTGACGTGAAGTCATGTGACCATGCTGTAGTTCCTTTATAGCCTAACGCTAGCTTTTTACTTCAGAAATCATAATGTGGTGTTAATATGTGGAGATTTTCCTGCTGAACAAAACGTGTAAGTATCATAAACGTTTGTTTGCCACAAAGATTCTTTTCTGCAATAATCCAAAATATGGAAAAATCCTATCGTCTTTTTTCTTGCTCTTTAACTTCCGAGGTTTCCTACAGAAATAGCTCCTCGCTGCCCCGCTCTCTAACAGGCTGTGGGGACGTACTGGGGTTGTTGCTCATGGCCGACCAGGTGATGTACATGGTGTAGAGCGAGATGAAGGAGGCCTGCAGCAGGCCGGAGCTGGGCTGAGCGTCCTGTGGAGACATGAGGGAATACATCAGAGTGCAACTAAAACAAAACTCTCTTCATAGAGTGCCACAGTGACGCGTCCTAAAACCCGGAAGCAAACTCCTTCCGGTTCCTTCGACAAAAAACAATGCAATTTCTCCATAGGATTTCCACATGTCTACCCTACTTTTATAACTTTCTAATCATAAATCTAACCTCTAATCTAACTTACTTCCGGGTTTTAGGACCCCCCAGATTTCTTGTGTAATACTGTTGGTACTTCTAAAAGAAAGACAGGATCTAAAAGTCCTTGTTATGAAATGACAGGCAGTCAGTGGTGTATGTAGGGGGCAGGTTACGTAAAGCCTTGTAAATCATTAAAAGCACTTTAAAATCAGTTATAGAGGTATGGTATTAAACACGAAGGGAACAACATACTATAATTGAGAGGCATTAATAGTGATATTGTATTTAAACTTGTCTTTTATTACCTGGACTTTGGGCACGATGGACACGACGGACACGATGATGCAGAAGATGAAGTTGAGGCTGATGAAGACTTTGTGCTCCGTGCAGTCGTCGGGTTTGGTGTAATAAACGTAGAAAAGCACGACGCAGGTGAACGCCAGGGCGTAGAAGATGACGGTGACCGTGAGCAGAGCTGTGGAAAACATCAGTAACAATCACATGAGGGCTGACTTATATAGGGTTCATCTGCTTCATGCATTTTGACTTATTTAACTCTATTACTATCTACGCCGGGATCCTGAGTCGTGGCTGATCCTGTTGCTGTGGTCCTGTGTCCTGGATCCTCTATCCTGAGTCCTGGATCCTCTATCCTGAGTTCTGATTTGAGTCCTGGACTTCGAGTCGTGGCTGAACCTGTCACTGTGGTCCTGCCTGACTCTCATCATACTACTTCCCTGATGGCTCCCACAGGATTGTTGACATCCTCGTGGATTCATCTTCTTATTATAGACACATGCATTTCCAAACATTCGGTCTACCTATGCTGTAAAATGTATTATCTCTTCGATTTACACACGGCATCTATTGCACGTCTGTCCGTCCTGGGAGAGGGATCCCTCCTCTGTTGCTCTCCCTGAGGTTTCTCCCATTTTCCCCTTTAAACTGTGGGGTTTTCTGGAAGTTTTTCCTTGTACGATGTGAGGGTCTAAGGACGTCGTATTGTCATACTGATATTCTGTACAAACTGTGAAGTCCACTGAGACAAATGTAACATTTGTGATATTGGGCTATATAAATAAACATTGATTGATTGATTGATTGATTGATTGACTATTACTCGACCAATATTAATGCAATATTTGCAAAGAAACATTGCTTTGTTCATGATTTGAGTGATTTATTGTTGAACTGTTTAAATTCTGATAATATGAAACCTGCCATGGGAGAAATTGAGTGAGAATGCTATTTTTTTTTAAATGAAAACTGACATGAATACATTGAACTACAGGGATTGCCTGGGGCGGCATTGGCTGATGGGGGAAATAAGGCGTATACCATCATAGGGTCAGTGGTTTGAAGCGTCTTGTGGGAAGATATCTCAAATTGCTTTAATAAGCACGTCTACGATAAGTGTTTGTACGTCGTTTCGGAGCGTCAGCTAAATATCATGTAGTGGAATGAAAACCATTGGGAAAACTCTCACTTGTAAACGTGCACTTTTAAAGGTTTATTGGAGTTAATTTTGGATAAATACCTGCGTACCAGAACTTGGAGTTCCCTTCATCGGCCTTCTGAAGCCAGGACTGGTTCCAGGAGTGAGCGAAGTCCACGAGGAGGATGAGCTGCACCGCGATGAAGAAGAACGAGCCCACCATGCCGAAGTAATACCACACTGAGGGGGGGCAGAAAGAGATTAACAGGATGTATTCATAAGGTAATTCGACTATGATAGATCATTTACAGTGATACACCAGAGAGCAGTAGAGTGTAGGTCATCATTTATCAGATCTAGTTGTAACATAACATGATGTTTTAGCCAATTAACAAAATAAACAATCTTCCCCATTTCCATTAATCACATTGAGGTTAGAGGCGGTCATTTAGAAGCAAAATCAATGAGCTACGATGGGAGGTTGACC